ATGTGGTTTTACAGAAGGTTGCTTAAAATACTTTGGACAGCCAAAAAGAGCAACCAAGAAGTTTTGAAAGTGGCGGGAGCCTGAAGACAACTTATCACAGACATCAGAAGGGGATTGTCATCATTTTATCAATTTTCGGCCATGTTATGAGAAGAGGGGAAAAAGAACATGTTGTGACCACTGGAAAGATCAGTGGAAGGAGGGATAGAGGAAGACAACGAGGGAAGGTTCTTGACAGTCTTGTTGCATGGCATGGAGGTGTGTCAGCACACGAACTGATACAGGCTGCAGGAGATCGCAGTTTGTTGAGAGGCATGATCGCCCACGCCAGTCGGCGACGCACCTCACGATGATCATGATACCTGCCAAAACAGCTCTCCTTTGGACACCAGGTGTGAAAAGAAAAAAGGGAGCACCCAAAATAAACATGGAGACGAATGATAGAAAGTGAACCAAGTGCTGCATCTATGAAAAACTGCACTGAGGATTGAACAAGACAGGAAAGCATGGAAAGTCATGTCTGAAGCCTCATGTGCCAATAGGCATAAAGAGAACTGACTGATCAACACGGTGTCATTAGCGCAACGATCAATACAGTGTCATTAGCACAACGATCAATACGGTGACATGAGCACAACTATCAATACAGTGTCATTAACACAACGATCATTACAGTGTCACGAGCACAACGATCAATACGGTGTCATTAGCGCAACGATCATTACGGTATCATGAGCACAACAATCAATACGGTGTCATTAACACAACGATCATTACGGTGTTATTAGCACAACGATCAATACGGCGTCATTAGCACAACGATCAATACGGTGTCATTAGCACTACGATCAATACGGTGTCATTAATACAACGATCGTTACGGTGTCATTAGCACAAAGATCAATACGCTGTCTTGAGCACAACGATCAATACGGTGTCATTAGCACAAAGATCAATACCTTGTCATTAGCACAACGATCAATACAGTGTCATTAGCACAACGATCAATACCTTGTCATTAGCACAACGATCAATACAGTGTCATTAGCACAACGATCAATACGGTGTCATTAGCACAAAGATCAATACCTTGTCATTAGCACAACGATCAATACAGTGTCATTAGCACAACGATCAATACGGTGTCATTAGCACAAGGTAAATTGATTGTATAATTACCACCAACTACAACTCCTGGTATGTTCAGTTTTGACCTCATTAAATAATCACTGTATAATTAAAATAAATTAGGCCTGGCGTATGCCCTTCCTTAGTATCTGAAATGTTCCTAAATAAATGTTAATTCTCAAAGCTGCTGCTTGTTGCGAACACATATTCTTCATTTTTTTTTTAATGAATTCACATAGCTGCTGCTTACTGTAGTAATGTTCTTTATTATTCTTAGATTGGTATTTACTTTTTTTCTGATAGTGTGATTATTTTCTTATAGTTCAAAGTCTCAAATTCTTTCGTATAGTCCTCGAAGCATCAGTGCAGATTTGTTTTACTTCTCTTATAGGATTCACACCATTGTAATAAAGTTTGTATATTATACGTTTTAGATCAGATGTGCAGGTGTGAATTAGTTAAGTGAATGTACAGGTTTAGCCGTACCGGGCTCATCGCCAGACCTTGGTTATTAGACCTGTTTGGCTATCGCCTATTTCAGTGTAAAATTACTGGTGATTTTCTTTTGCAAACAAAATAGGTCAATGCCACAGAACTTGCTCAGAGTCACGTTTCGCTGGCCGCCACAGATGCTACCTACTCTATGGCACCAGTGAATGACGGTTATTTCCTAACAAAAGACCCAAGGGACAGCTTCCGCTTGGGAGGTGAGCTAGTACACAGTGTTGGTTATTATTTCTTTCTTGTTCCTACTTCCCTTTCTTCTTCTTCTTCTTCTTCTTCTTCTTCTTCTTCTTCTTCTTCTTCTTCTTCTTCTTCTTCTTCTTCTTCTTCTTCTTCTTCTTCTTCTTCTTCTTCTTTTTTTTTTTCTTCTTCTTCTTCTTCTTCTTCTTCTTCTTCTTCTTCTTCTTCTTCTTCTTCTTCTTCTTCTTCTTCTTCTTCTTCTTCTTCTTCTTCTTCTTCTTCTTCTTCTTCTTCTTCTTCTTCTTCTTCTTCTTCTTCTTTTTCTTCTTTTTCTTCTTTTCCTCCTCCTCCTTCTTCTTCTAATTATTCTGCTTCTTCTTCTTGTTTTCTCTTTTTCTTCTTCTTTTTATTATTCTTCTTAATATTATTTTGTTGCTGCTGGTTCTACTTCTTGTTCTGCTTCTTCTTCTTTTTCGTGTTTATGTTTCGAAAACGGCGGAACGTCCTAGTTGTTTGTCCAAGTGGTTCATATCTAGGCTGCAAATCCGCGCCTGTTGATCCAACCCATTCGTTGTCTGAAAAACCCTAACTGGTCAACTTTAACGACATACTTGTCATGTGTAGTAAGCACCTCCTCCCTCCCCCCCAACCCCCCCCCCCCCCCCAACCCCGCGGCTCTTTCCTCCACCGCAATAGGATCCTGAAAGGCACATAGGGACGAACTGTTAGACGAAGTGGTAGATAACTGTAATTCTGTGTTATGTTCCTACAGAGGTCAAGCGCTGCAGTATTTTGACTGGAACGACCAAAGATGAAGGAACATTTGTTCTCCAACAAGTGATGCCTATAGAGTATAATTTTAATATAACAAATCCACCAGTCTTGAACGATCAGTAAGTATACGATTACCCTGTAACTCTATGAGTATTGATCAGTGCAAAATAGTTGATCTAAGTATAGTTTATATTGTTGTTTGTCCATCACCAACGATAAGGACCACTTTTCATCCAGCTTAGTAATAAACAATAATTAGGAGGATCACCCGTGGAGAGGTCCTGGAAATCCCGCTCAACCGTTATATAAGGGCCTCCGGCAACTGCCAGGGTGGGGCTTCAAAATAACGAAAAATTGCATCCCACAAAGGAACAACTTATATGATGAATATTTTAATCACCACGGAGACATTGTAATAATGTAGGAACAGTTATTGTAGGTAGGTAAGGTAAGTGGTACCCCACCAGGAAATCGCACAAGCGATAATTACCCGGTGACACAAAGTACCACCATGCGGATGAGGATCACCCGTGGAGAGGTCCCGGAAGCCCCGTTCTGCCATTAGGCCATATTTAGGGCCCCTGGCAAAAGCCAGGGGGACGCTTCAAAATAACGAAAAATTTTTAAATGAGTGAAGCGCTGTATTTAAATTACAACAGAAACTAATGTATACTATAAATCACAAATCCTTTCTGTGTTTCGTGTGTTTATTATGATTGGGTGTTAACTCCTCCCAAATAGTGTTCAACATACGGGTTAAATTTTCATTTGTCGTTATGACTACAACATTTAATTTAACAGTCACATTTCAGGCCAAGGTTATTGTGCATTTCTTTATTTATTGCCACAATCAGTAAAAGTAAACATTAGCTAGAGTTATATCCCTTTGAATATTTTCTCGCCTATTACTTTCCTTAAACAAAATAATTTTTAAATTAGATTTCGGTGTTATCTGGCTTGAAAACACATGTCTATATGTTTCTAAGTCAATATATTTGTCTGTCTCTCAAACTGTTAAATACAGGGAATGCCTCGGGTGCGATTTAAAGGCAATGATTAAAGATGCGGCAGCGTTGGAAAAAAAATGAAGTAGAAGACAAGATATTAAAAACAGGGTTTTAGTTAGAACTCTATTTCCACTAGGTCTACATTGGGGCTAATTAAAATAAGGGAGAGAACAGCAGAATAAGACATTCTTTCACCATCCCGGGGGACACCGGACTATTAAATCTAGTCAATAATAAAACTGGAAACGTGTGAAGCGGACTTATGTTCAAGTATTAGGCTTCATCGTCATAATGTGTATACAACAAACATCTATCTGGTAAAACTTAAACGCTCACTTGCTGGTATAGAGACTGTTACGTGAGTACTATTCAGGCATTGCTCTGTCACAAACTCCCTCTTCTCATCTTTTTTCTTTTTATTATTCTACTCGTTCTCCCCCTCTCCTCCTCCTCCTCCTCCTCCTCCTTCTTCTTCTTCTTCTTCTTCTTCTTCTTCTTCTTCTTCTTCTTCTTCTTCTTCTTCTTCTTCTTCTTCTTCTTCTTCCTCTTCTTCTTCTTTTCCTCCTCCTCTTCCTCCTCCTTTTTTTTTCTTCTTCTTCTTCTTCTTCTTTTTTTTCCTTCTTCTTCTTCTTCTTCTTCTTCTTCTTCTTCTTCTTCTCTTCTTCTTCTTCTTCTTCTTTCTTCTTCTTCTTCTTCTTCTCTTCTTCTTCTTCTTTTTCTTTTTTTCTTCTTCTTCTTTTCTTCTTCTTCTTCTTCTTCTTCTTCTTCTTCTTCTTCTTCTTCTTCTTCTTCTTCTTCTTCTTCTTCTTCTTCTTCTTCTTCTTCTTCTTCTTCTTCTTCTTCTTCTTCTTCTTCTTCTTCTTCTTTTTTCTTCTTCTTCTTTTTTCTTCTTCTTCTTCTTCTTTTTCTTCTTCTTCCTCTTCTTCTTCTTCTTTTTCTTCTTCTTTTACTTTTTCTTCTGTTTCTTCATCATCATCATCATCATCATCTATTCCTACTCCTCTTCCTTGTCCTCGTATTCTTTTCCTCTTTTTGCTCTTCATCTTCTTCTTCTTCCTCTTTCTCTTCATTTTTGCCTCTTCTTTTGCTTCTTCTTTCCTTCTTCTACATTAGACGGGGGGACAGCGGCCAATATCTCACCTCCTCCATACCACTTCTGAGACACGTATTGTAACTCATTTCAAGCTGCTCCATCCTGTTAACGGCTCAACCGCATACCTACAGAGCTGGCAATCCGGCATGTTATTCTGCGTGTTCGTCTTAATTTTACTGTCGCAATTTTCCTTTCAGCAACTCGTCGCAGAACTGACCCAGCAGGTCTCACGGCTGGCCTTCAAGGAACAATATATCAAGGAGATTAACGCTAACGTGACAACACTTTATGATTATGCTGACCTCTAGCAGAAGGTCACTAACCCCAGTCTTACCTTACTGATTTACGTCAGTGGTGACATCGTATATGAATGTCCGGCAATCGCCATAGCAACCATGTACGCCGCCTTATCCCAAAACGTGTATGTGTACAGATACGACTACGTCCGCGAGAGAACCTTTCTGCCAGCTTGGGTTGGGGCTACGCATTTAAGTGAAGTGCCCCTTGTATTCAGAACTATAACGCCTGCATATCCACAAATTTCGGAAAGGGACGCGCAGGTGAACGAAAGAATCATGAAAATGTGGGCACACTTTGCTCAGTCTGGGTAAGTCATTTAATCCAAATATTTTTTTTTATATTTTTTTTTTTCAGGAAGAAATTTTGTTTTCGTACATTGTTCTACTAAATAGTTAACGTCTTGTGGCGTTGGTAATCGTGTCCGCCCAGAGCTTCCATTTTCGGGTACTGTCAATCATTTCTGGGAAAGAGTTCTTTTCCTTGTCATGTTGCCACACTGACCAGTATTTTATCTCTTCTTCTTCTCTTCTCTCCATTAAATGTTTTTCGAGTGAGCCCAGCATGATTTTGTGCTGTGAACTGCAGATTCAGAAAATGACCAGTGCCACAGAACTGGTGGTGCCTTATGGATTAATTGCCTGCGCAACTACTGCTCTGTTACAGCTGCTACTTCCATTGACGATCAACTGCATTTCTAGTGTCAGACAGTTTGTGTTTGCTCTTCTAGCCGCTACCTTATACAGTTATTGAGTGTGTATGCTATTGCCTTTGCCGAGACTGCTGCCTGTGTCAGTTTGTTATCACAAGCGATACTGATGGATATGGTGTGTGATTTTCATTGGCAGAGGAACGGAGCAATTATGTGACAAACCGTTTGCTTTTAGAATGGAACTGCGATTTCCTGATTACTTATCTTCTCTCCCTCCTGCCTGTCTGTGTTCTATTGCCTTAAAACTTTCCTGCTGTCACCACGCCCTTTACCGCCCCCGCCCCCACTTCTAAACGACGTAACCAAAAAATGTAAACAGTCTGCTTCTGATGTCAGCAATCAGTTCTCTTTGTGAATATTTTCTAAGTTAAGAGAATCAGAATCATATCCATGACAGACCCATTGAGATTGTCCTTCTATAAAAGAGACGAAAGTTCAGTTTGTTCTTATGTTCTGTTCTCGTGATCCTTAAGAGGCTTTACCAAGTCCGTTCTATCGTTGGGACAGAACAGGAATAAACTCACAGGGAGCAAGTACAGCAGGGATCTACCAGTCGTCAGTAGAAATTATCCTCGTCGACAAGAGTTTCGGCCCACGATTCCTAGACACTTTCGGAGGTGGGCCCACCTGAGTTCATGAAGCTCAGGGCTGGTACCCTGCTGCACGAAATTACCGTATGGTTTTTTTTCGTTCGGATAGGGACAAGACGACTTGGTGGTTTGCAGAAGGTACTGTGAGATAAGAAGTCGTCGCGGCAGCCTAATTAAAGCAGTCAGCATACCTGGACGACCGAGCGACAAGCTTACGATTGGTTTACCGGACACATGTTGGACTTTTATTAGCAGGTGGCAGAGGATCACTGGCAGACAATTCGGACACGACGGACTTTCAAGGGGTGAGAAACCCTTTTCCGCTAGACACCCGGACCAGCTCACCGAGGCCCGTCCCCTACGTTGTTGCGTTGCGTCAAAAGCCAGCTCGAGGCCCTTTCGGCTACCTCGCCCAGTTTTTTGAGTGTTCGTTTCCGTTCATTACCGCGCAATCCTAGTTCTTTAACCACATTGTAGAGCGAAGTGGAAACGAGGCCTCTCGCTCCCACTTCGACGGCAAAGACCCGTACTGTGTACGCCTCGTTTCTCCTCAGACCGGCTGCTAAGTCACAATATTTCTCGAGCTTATATGTGTGACTCTCGTCCATACGCGACTCATACGGGACGGTCAACTCAATCAGGATGAGCTGCCCTTTCTGCACATAGTGGAGAACTATGTCAGGTCGCAGGCCGGTCTTACGGATTAACTTTGGGTACCTTTCATGGCCCGGCAGATCAACCGCCATTTACCAGTCCCTCGCAGAGTCTAGCACAGATGGAGCGAATGCGTTTCGGTTGACCTTACCTTTTGGAATCTGCCCAGCCTTGAGGAAACGAATTGGGACGATGGTAGAACTGGCTCTGGCGTCAGCCCTCATTCTAGCCTGGTCAACAACGGCAGCTAACTCTTTTAGCACCTTGTTGTGTCACCAGGTATATCGGCCTTGGCCTAGGGCTTTCCTGCACGCGGACAAGACGTGTTCCAGCGTCTGCTTTGCTTTACACAACGGGCAAGTCGGATCGTTAGTCGCAGACTAGTCGCAGAAAGATATACTCAACGAGTGAAATGTGACATAATTAAGGCTAAGCAACTGGCAACATCCATAGAATAGCTAAGTAACTGAC